GTTATTCCAGGCCGCAGCCAGTTGGTTCGGACACGGCCTAAGATTCATCAGAAATATAATCTTTTGTACGGAAGCTTGAACTGCCTTCCGCGATACCGCGTTACCGTGATAATTTATCACAGAAATCCGGAATTCAAAGATAATTCCTTCCGCGATACCGCGTTACTGCGATAATTTATCACAGAAATCCGGAATTCAAAGATAATTCCTTCCTCGATACCGCGTTACCGCGATAATTTATCACAGAAATCCGGAATTCAAAGATAATCCCTTCCTCGATACCACGTTACCGTGATAATTTATCGTCGTAATCCGGAATTCAGAGATACCTATTCCTCGATACCGCGTTACCGTGATAATTTATCGCAGAAATCCGGAATTCAAAGACAAATCGGTAACGAGGAAGGAATTATCTTTGAATTCCGGATTTCTGTGATGATTATCGCGGTAACGCGGTATCAAGGAAGGATTTATCTTTGAATTCCTGATTTCTGTGATAATTATTGCGATAACGCGGTATCGCGGAAGAATTTATCTTTGAATTCCGGATTTCTGTGATAAGTTATCGCGGTAACACGGTATCGAGGAAGGATTTATCTCTGAATTCCGGATTTCTGTGATAAAATATCACGGTAACGCGGTATCGAGGAATAGGTATCTTTGAATTCAGGATTTCTGTAATAAATTATCACGGTTACGCGGTATCGCGGAAGGCAATTCAAGCTTCCGTACTTTTGCTCTGGGAACCAGACTATGCTATTATAAGGAGACCTCTGTAATTCTTGGCGGCGCTATAGCCTTAACGAAACCGGAGATGCGGTCCAACAGTTTTGTCATTTTCTCTCAATTTTTCCAGGATTTCTCGCATTTGTCTTCAGGAAAAGTCACTGAAATCGTCAAGGGTATTGCTTCGTGCGCACGAGTTTTTATTTCGTACCCCAAAAATTCAGTTACTTTTCCCGAAGACAAATGGGACAAATCCTTGAGAAATTGAGAGAAAACTGTTTGGACCCCTGTATATTTTCAATGGGCCGTTTTCGCTTTCTACCCTCGGGCCCATTTTATGCGCTGCGTGAATGAAGTTGAATTTATTAGGGAACTATTCATTATTCGCGATTAAGATCAACACTCACAAAAATTGAAAATAATTTGATGACGAATACATGTATCGCCTGAATAACGGCATCTAGCCCCCTTTAAACATGACCTCATTAAATTCAGCATGTAGGTCGGGCAAACAAAAGCATTCTGATATAGCCAAGGGAACTGGACAATGAACATGGCAGATGGCGTTCAATAATTCAGTTTTAACTCCAAGAAAAAAATGAGCATCAGCAACTGGAACGCTTTTTATTTGTTGACATGAACATCAATGATGAATAATTATGATTATGCGTATAAAATGAAACTTGCCTACTGGCAATGTAATTGCATTGCACTTAAATATCACCATCGACAAGAAATAGGAATTATGTCATTTTCGGAGGCAAAATGATGTTGTGTACCACTACAATGAAGCAAGTGAAGGTGTATGTGTGTACATGCATTACATTCACTGTGTGGACTTCCAAACGTAAAGAGGTCTACATAAACCAGGTAGCAGGGACGTTGTGTGAACTTTCCCACGTCTACACAAGGTTTCCCCTCTCTGGAAAACAGCATTTTGGCTTTAGGTTTATCAGTGGCAAAATGAAGAGAAACACTAAAGGGAATCATGAAAAAAATGGGTTGAAAGAGTTTTCACAGTTTAAGAAAGATGATTTTTTTTTTTTCAATGTTTTTTCTTAACTACACGAAAACAAAGGAATGTCCACATTAAGTATGTATAACTAACATGACAGGGGTGAATGTAGAATGGAATCTTGTGAAGGAAGTGGCCTATGACCTGTGTATAAAGCATCTGGCTGCAGCTGTTCAAGACCGCAGTTAGACAATGTGCGCAAATGTTATCCGAAAACTTCCCATTGCGCACATTCCATACCGGATGTGATTTCTGTTTCATTGCGGACGACCATGTGGGCAAAATTTTGAGCGTAGCATTAATCTCGTACCCCAGGGTGTCGAGCAGTACGCGCCCATCACTACCTGCTCTCTCACCCTGGTATTGGATCATTTGCATGTGCAAGATTTTTGAACACGTATGCAAATGAGGAATAGTCTGGTGCCAGCATGTGCGATACATTAGCGTTTGTTTTTGTATGCGGTGTCTGGGGTAAAAACACAGTCAATTCGTAGCATCGCGAGCATGGCGTGAGTTACGAAAACACGATTTTTATTCAATTAAACTGTTAAGATCTTAACGAAACAATATGCAGTATCACATGTCATATTAATACATGTATTAACAAACTGGAAGGGAAATTAATATTTTCGAGAAGGCGTGGACGAATGATCGCGAAAACACGTACTGCACGTTGTGAATAACAACACCAAGTACACGATAAAAATCCATTACTAGCCAATTGCGGTATCGAATCAGGATACAGGAAGAAAGTTTACTATCCAGGGTTTACTATTGGAAACACGGTTGGAAATAAAGTAAGCACTGGAAACGAGGTTGTGACCTTGATGACACGCAGGTCACTGGTACGGTCACGCAAAATTAGTCCAACCAACTGAGCGTGAATTCACTCGGAGTATCCCAGCGTCCTGTTTGCACATGCAGGGTGCACGCCTGTAAATAGGCCAAAAATCTGTCCGCCGAGCTCATGAATAAAAGTTATACCCTCAAAATATTCTATATTAGAGAGTTCTGAGAACCATGGAATTGGGGAATTGAAGACATACGTGGCACTGAACCTCTGGCCTGGACTTGGAGCTTCCAATTCTGAGCATTTTGGATGCAATCGGGCCCGAAAGTGGCGCTATTTAGCCATGTTGTGGAGGGATTCTCCACACTTTTCCAGTTTGGGAAACATCATTCGTTTTAGGCGTGTTCTTCTTTGGGTGCCGAGAATATCTCAAAAAGTCAATGGTCAACCCACCCAAAATTGAAAAGAAAATGAAAAATGACATGTTGTTCATCATTTTTCTGTGCAGCTTGAATACCTGTGAGAGTTCTGAGTATTTTAAAATGAATTTTGAAGTATGGGCATTTAGCACTAGTGTCTATGGGAATTTTATTGCAGGCGCTCACCCTGCAGGGCGGGGGTACCGGGTACGAGCGAATCTTGCCACTGTCGAGCGCAATTTGAGTCCCCCGCGCAAGTTTAAACCTGCGCGTGGGACTCCTGGAGCACGCAAATTACACTGCGCCATTTTAATTTGCGTGCGCACGTTACAACTTGCACAAAGTCGATCGAAATATGAGAACCTTGCGGACGGGATTTTCATTGATGAAGAAAAAAAGAAAAAAAAGGTTCAAAACACGAGTACATGGAGAAATAAACTAACAAATAATGGAATAAATTAATGAACAAAGAAATAAATAAAAAGGGGAATTCAATTAGCGTCAATTAAAAGAAACATTGAAATTTAGCAGCTATCAGAGAAGTTTTTTTAGGGGTGGGGGCGCGGCGGGGAACCGGGCAAGCATTCCATAAGCACACTAGTGGCGATTGCTTCAATTTTTTTACCTTGTAAAACAAATAAGCATTATATTAAATTCTTTAATGTAATATAAATCATATAGTCCTATGTGTAACCCGTTGGTAACGTAAAAAGAATTATTATGATCCCTTCAATATTGTTCAAATTTTGACGTTTTAATCGTTTACATTATTTTTAAAATGCTTTAAATTACATTACAACTGTGCAATTTAAAAAAAAAAAAACGTTTAAAAAAATTGTAATTTAATTAATTTAACACTTTATTAATTGGACGGTACAATAATTCATATTGTCTTTAAAATACTTCGCATAACATTTCGAGCGTTGTGTACTCTTCAAAAATGCATAATTTGAAGAAAAAAATAATGTATGCATTACAAATTTAATTAATTAATTTAATTTATTACTTTAACAATTATTTTATTTGCAGGCTCAATAATTCATATAAATGTTTACATGCTTTAACTTAAAAACGCCATGCATATAAAAGAAAATTATTTTAAAAAGTAAATTTTAATTTATTAGTTTGATTAGTTATTTTGACTTAATGTATAAATATGTTGTTTATTAAACAAAAATCATAATGAGCCATAAACAATAATAAACATCATGATGCAAAGCCTTATATCTCTGACAGCGGCGGCGGAACGGGTTTGAAACTGGGGGGGGGGGGGGGGCATCACCAAAAAGGGGCACTTGCAAACCCATGCTGAAATGTCGACACGTTTTTTTCACCGGACACTTGGCCTCCGTAAAATCAAATAGTGTGTGGGCGGTGGGGGGGGGGGGGGGGGGGCTGGTACCATCTTTCAACGCAGGGGCGCTCTTCAAAACCAATGATTAAATAATAAATATGCATTATGTGCCCATTTTCAGGGCGTATTGTATGGGTTTTGGAACTTGGTTTTCATATTCCTCGTTTATATCAAAAATATCTATACCAGTATTGGGAAATGGTTACTTTTAAGAAATAGTAAGATACTTTAAGGCCATTTTTGTTTCATTTCGAGGGGGCACTTTAATGCTCGTGGGGGTACATTTATGGCCGCAAAAGGGGCACTTGGGAAAATCTGGGGGGCAAATGCCACCCCCCCCCCCGGTTCCGCCGCCCCTGATCTCTGAACCTCTACACAGTCAACCTCATTAGCATAATACTGTTAATAAAATGTTTCAAAAAAGTCATTTAGGCATCGTCTCACGAAGCACATTGGTGCTATTAATCGGAGAAAAATCTGCTTTAAAAATAATGTTGCATATCTGCATGAGTTTACCCGGGAAAAAATAGTTTAGCGGCTTTGCATGCATGGGAAAAATCTATGTAGTGCGCAAGTTTAAACTTGCGTGCGCAATTTGTAGCAAGGAAATTAATGCACGCGCAAGTTTAAACTTGCGTGCGCGCAGGTTTAAAATTTTGAGCGCAAGTTTAAACTTGCGTGGGGACTCAAATTGCGCGCGACACACTATAGTCAATAGATGGCAGCAGCCACAAGAGGGCAGTCAAACCGAAATGATAGTCTAAAAATGGCGGCGCACATGACGGTGGGTTGATTGTGGTGCTCTGAATTGTTTCTGTTTTTGCAAGAAGTGAGGTACGTTTTTGCAAATATGTTGACATTAGTCCCACTAACTGGGTCGCTAGAACTCCTTTTTTGACATTTGGGATGTTATCTCTTATTACTATACCTCATACATATTCATGATCGAAAGCCGAACGTTCACTGGTCAATTCACCATCACGTGCCAGATGTTATTCTTGCTGTTTACCAAACGCGCGCGCGAGGATTCACGCACATTGTAAATACACATGCGTAGTAGACTGTCGCATGGGTTACCCGTGCGACAGTCTACTACGCATGCGCTTTACAGAGCAATCGAGGAACTGTCGCACGGGTGCAGTACGCATGCGCGAACATCGCACAGGAGAGATGCGTGGCTGCACGGTTCCGGTTTGCGTAAATGTTAATTTACAGAGCTCAATGATGCCGTACTGGAGAAAATGTATAGACCGTGTAAAGATGTCTCCTGTACAAAAGAAAGTTGTACACATTGCAAACAACTGTATTTACAACTGTAGTAACTGTATTATATTGCAAACGAACCGAACTAGTAATTGAAGTTGAATATTTTGGTGAGCTGTACACGTTTCCCCAAATTTTGTTTTAGGTGCATAATAATAAAACAAAATTCGGCAACTGAATATGTATGAGGTATAGTAAAACAAATATAACATGGCTTATTTCGGGTGGACAGTCGATATTAGCTCCCCTTGGAATTGGAAGTTGACAAACTAGTTCCCTCGGCTTCGCCTCGGGAACTAGTTTGTCAACTTCCAATACCTCGGGGAGCGAATATCGACTGTCCACCCTCAAACCATGTTATATTTGTATACTGTCGTACTACTACTAGCGACTAACTACATGAACTAATGAACTATCAGACTATTGTCTAGCCCCACTAGTGTGGCCGTCGGTATGCTGCGCTGAACCTCTGGCCACACACCGTGGTACCGCGCGCTACTGAGGACGAAGTTTTCATAAAATTCAGGGCAGTTTCTTACATTTTCAGTTTCTTACTTTCTTATGGTTGTATTCTATGATGTCTCACCTATCACTTCTGGGATGCTTAGGTCTAATGATGTTCCATTTTCCGAGATATTCTTCAATCTTTCTGGAGTCCATATGCACTCGTGAAACGTCTGGTGATGGCAGCCATTTTGAATGGGACAAGAGATGACCTCAAGCTGTGACGTCGCGTGTATGCAAATTGCTTGTCGAGCGCGCGAGGGCGCGAGTTGCAAATGCGACGATCTCTATTCAGGATCTACGGCACAGGAAACAGCCGTCGCATTTGCAACTCGCGCCCTCGCGCGCTCGACAAGCAATTTGCATAAACGCGACGTCACAGCTTGAGGTCATCTCTTGTCACATTCAAAATGGCTGCCACCACCAGACGTTTCACGAGTGCATATGGGCTCCAGAAAGATTGAAGAATATCTCGGAAAATGGAACATCATTAGACCTAAGCATCCCAGAAGTGACAGGTGAGACATCATAGAATACAACCATAAGAAAGTAAGAAACTGAGAATGTAAGAAACTGCCCTGAATTTTATGAAAACTTCGTCCTCAGTAGCGCGCGGTACCACGATGTGTGGCCAGAGGTTCAGCGCAGCATACCGACGGCCACACTAGTGGGGCTAACTATTGTCATGATTGTCAATTACTAACAATTTCTAAAAATAACTGTAATCCTTACTTTTAGGACCCCTTTCCTATATAAGGTTAAAAGACTCACCAAAACAGCTGACTAAATGACACTCAAAAATGATATTCTGATATTTATTGACACATTTGAACATTTGGCAATGACACCTCTTGAATATCAGGACAGCAGGTTTGATTTTGTAGAAAGAGGGCAGGGGTTTGATTTATGAGAGGTTAAAGACGACGATGACAAACAGAAAATAAATTTAAAAATTAAGATGGCGAACTGCAAAAAAAGGTAGGAAAGTCACATTTTCTTTGAAAGTGCTTTCAAAATTATAACTGACATGAGTTTGTCTGAAGAAAAAAGACTTCTTTAGCCTGCAAAAGTCACTTTGGTACTGGACAGTCATCTGCAAAAGTCAGTTTTGAACAGAACTCGTACAAAATAGAGGTGTCCTAAAAGTAAGGATTACCAAAATGGCTCCTAGAACTATGAGGCTCCACGTAGTGGAGCCTCATAGTTCTAGGAGTATCTAAAAATCTGTGAAATTCAACCACTATAGCACAGACATTATACAGCGATCATTAAACATGTTGTTGGCTTTGATACCAACGCATATTCTATATGCACGTATAGTCCGAGTAACTTGGACCCAACTTATCGCCTTTTTAACATTCGGCCATGGTCTGGCGATAGTGGGGTCCAAGCTAAAAGTTATGTGCCCAGCAACACAATTCTGTCATTGACCCAAAAACCCAACATTGCCCAACAAAAACATCAGGATCTATGGGCTTGTAAAGGACAGGCAAACCCACGTAGTCCCACACAGGGAAAAGCCCTTTAAAGAAAGATTAAACATAATGCACTATGACAATATAGCTTTAAGATTCCAAAAATTTGCAACCAATAAAATAAAATTAAAATTCGCCATATTCTCAAACTCAACTCAAGTTACATTCTTGTGACATGAAAATTACACCGAAAATCGTCATACTCTCACAACCATATCTTACTTCATCCAGTGGGGTGCTGTGGTCCAATGGTTACGGGGTTCGACTCGTGTGCTGGGGTACACGGGTTCGAATCCTGACCGTGGGAACATGGTGCTTGTGCTCTTGAGCAAGGCACTTTACCATTATTGCTTCGTCCTTCGGATGGGACGCAAAGCCGTAGGTCCCGTGTGTTGTGTAATGCACGTTAAAGAACCCAGTAACACTTGTGGATTGTCGCTAAGAGAAGGGGTTCGCCCCGGTGTTTCTGGCAGTGGCCGCAGCACCTTGTAAACCCTGGTGCAACATAATGGGTCTCATATCTCTCATGTACTTCATTCATCTAATTATAGACATAACTCCCAGTGCCTTGAGTACCTCAGTACTCCGTTGCGATAATGCCTGAATAGGTTTCTGCAATGTAGCCATACAGATACAGATACAGATGTATTTTCATAATACACTTGATCACAAAAATAATGGGAGCTCCATGTTTGAATCCTTAAGATTTGCTTCAAAATACAGTTCTTGGACTGTATGTTTTCTCCCAAAAACTCTTCACACCATTCTGCAAACTATTTCCTTGTCAAATTGACTTCTGATTGATAAATTTGAAATGAAAGAAATACTTAGTTTACTGACAAAACTGGCTTTTAAATCATGGGCCTCGCCCTGGTACACACACACACACGCTTACATAGGCATAGAAGTGGGGTACTTCCTTTGTTCTCGTGTACTAAAGACTAGTTTTGCAATGTCGCACACTTTTGTCAAAATGCTCTTATTTTAACCATAGTTAATTTCCTGGGCTGAAATTCGGACTTAATATACCTTTTCTAAAACTCTTTCATTTGCGATGGATCAACCCACCTTGGAAGCATTAGTTTTTGAGTAAAATCCATATATCTATTTCGTGAAAAACTTGTGGGGTACCAAAACGGTACCCTGCAAGACGGTGGGCATTCCTTGTGGGGTACCTCCCATTGTTCCGGTACCCCACAAGGCAGTGTTTGGACACGCAGTACCACTGTATATTCCCACAGGAATATAAGGTGAAGCTTAGAATAGCAGTGCCCTGGGAAATGCACATGGTATCTAAGAGCTAACAAAATTACTCAACCAAATCATTAATTTACATACTGCCATTAACATAAGAAAGATTTAACTCTGCTATATACACTCTGGGTAGCCTCATTTCTGGATGGGGGAGAATTAAATTAATGCGCTAAAATAAATGTACAAGTGAAAATCCCATAATTAATTACTTGAACAAAAACAATGATCAATACCTGATTTATAAATTAATCACATCTTGTGACATACAGCACTGTTAAACTTGTAAACTCAGTCTGTTTGTACCTGTTTTCAACACAGTCTCCAGGTGACAACACTGGCAACGAGCTGTGAACACCTGTCTGGAAACTGAAGATTTGGCATCACTGAATCAATGAGAATTGTGTAACAATCAAGATTAGCACTTCAGAAAAATGGATATCGAAGGATCTGAGTTGATTTGTCACCTGAGGGTGCACATGGATGAGAAACCATTCGTTTGTGAAGCCTGTGGTAAAGCCTGTTCCACACGGAGAAATCTTCAAGGACATTACAGGATTCACACTGGTGAGAAACCATTCGTTTGTGAGATCTGTGGTAAAGCTTTTGCTCATCAAAATAATCTACGCATTCATGAAAGGATACACACTGGTGAGAGACCATTTGTTTGTGAGACCTGTGGTAAAGCGTTTGTTCAGCAAGGTGTTCTGCGTCAACATCACAGAGTACACACTGGTGAGAAACCATTCGTTTGTGAGATCTGTGGTAGAGCTTTTGCTAAGAAAAGTGATCTACAAAGACATGAAAGGAGGCACACTGGTGAGAAACCATTCGTTTGCGAGACCTGTGGTAAAGCCTTTGCTCATCCAAATGCTCTGCAGCAACATCACAAGATACACACTGGTGAGAGACTATTCATTTGTGAGACCTGTGGTAAAGGCTTTGTTCAGCAAAGTGCTCTGCATCAACATCATATGGTACACACTGGTGAGAGACCATTCGGTTGTGATACCTGTGGTAAAACCTTTGTTCAACAAAGTCATCTACAGCAGCACCATAGGACACACACTGGCGAGAGACCATTTGTTTGTGAGACCTGTGGTAAAACATTTACTCGTCAAAGTTATCTGTACCAACATCACAGGACCCACACTGGTGAGAGACCATTCGTTTGTGAGACCTGTGGTAAAGCCTTTGCCCAGCAGAATCATCTAAAAAAACACAATAGGACACACACTGGTGAGAGACCATTCGTTTGTGAGACCTGTGGTAAAGCCTTTGTTCAGCAAAGTCATCTGCGTCAACATAACAGTGTTCACACCAGCAAGACTAGAGGCAAATAAAGTGTGTCATTTTAAATTGTGCTGTATTATTTTTCTTCAATTGAAGATTTGTACATGGTGTTATTTGTCCAGTATATATACAAACAAATTACTGATTCTGCACGAAATCATTGTCATACATGTACATGTAGCTACGGTTTGCTGTAACTTGCGAGGGGTAACAATAGTCAGGTGGTTTCAAGATCAAATTTTTGACAAGATTGTGACCAACTAGTCCAAAGCACAAAACTTCTGGCCTCCAGAAGATATTTAGAAGGGGTGACACATGAAAGCGTTCCTTATTTGCATACATGTAAATTCTACATGGCAGCCTTATACAGGCATGCAACTTTTCCTTGGATCACCTGATGTCCTCTTTTTTTACTTCTCATGTGTGCCATTGAAAATAGAAAAACACTGTACAAAGTCTGGGGAAAATGTAAATTTCCTCTTTTTTTGTGATTTCCCAGTTGCATGCCTGCTTATAACATACGTTTTTCATAACGCACATTTTGGTGCATGTTTATAAATTTTTTATCTTTTTTTTTTTAAGTATATTCCTGGGATTGTAATAACATAACCTAAGCACTTATGTAGTTTTTCTAAAGTATAAAATGACTGGATAATTATGTGGACATATTCAATTACCAACTGAATATTCGAAGAGCTTTTTTCCAGTTTGAATATTTGGGGAAAAACTATGCCTGTAAACAAACATCTATGATGTTACTTTACTGTGAAGTTGCGGCGCTTTATTGTCAGGTGCCACTTTTTTGTCGACCGCGGTTCATTGTTAAAAGCCTTTTAGCAGCTGAATTAACCCTAATGGGGCCAGGCTATTTTTATCGTCTCGGGGGGGGGGGGGGGGTTCTCCCCCCTAAGATCTCGGGGCCATCGAGTGACGAAAAATTCTGAAACTCGTTATATGCATAGAACAACTCACCATGAACATACCCAAGAAACTGCAAAACTATAGGTCAAGGTCAAAGGGTTTGGGAAATATGGCTAATTAATTATTTATATATGCATGAATGGTAATTCTGCTCTGTGTACACTACATGTACATACATGTATATGGGGAAATTCAGTTTTCACGGTGCCTTAAGCGGAAAAATTGTCCCAATTTTGAGTTTTAGGTATCAACAGATGCGCAAGGCTCGAGGTTAAAAAGTCAAAACAGCTCGGGTTATGAAAACAAATTTTTTAAAGCGATTGCGGAAAACATTCAGGGGGTGGAATTCCCCCCCCCCCCCCCCCGGCCCCTTTAGGGTTAAAGCCCTTAATTACAGTTCTAAAATATTTACTGCAAAACATGGGGATTGCTAGAGTTAAGGATATTACTAGTACTTGTACATGTACATGTATCATCACTTATAAAAAAAAATAAACATTTTTTTATGAATTTTAATCAGTCGGTAGATTGTAAACATAAAAAAGCTTCCAGATTATTTTTGTATTTTTGAAATTTCTGAAGAACACATTTTGTGCATTTTTCTACTCTTGTAATGAGATTGACAATGAGGAGCATTGAATGAATTTGCTCAGTATAACAAACAAAACACTTTTAAATTGCCAACATTGTTTAATTTCTTGGTAACGTTGAAATGAAATTGATCACAATAATACATGTAGCTTTATATTCTATAGGCCTATTTAGGCTATTTTAAGATTAAAGACATACATGTATCATTTTCAAGACAATGGGTCACCCATTTTGATTCATGTACATTTATTCAAGAAATTTATTTGAGATCTAAACGACAGAAGAAACAATAAGTTCATGAAACATACCCTTGAAAATGGCAAAGTTCTAGTAATATCTTATTTTAATTTTATCATAGAATGTAATTTAGTAATTAATGTGTACATTTGTTCGAAAAATTTTAACAATGTTAGAGAAATAAAAGCGCTAGAACCAATGAGGGGAAAGACGTTCTACTCCTAAATGTTTGAAAACTATTGGCATTTCTTTTCGGTACATTTTATTGGAAGTGCACTTCAAACATTTAAAACAAATTCATGCTGTGATCATGTCATTTCAGGAAGACATTATTTAGCTTAGGGTTTTTTGTTCAAATTGCGAGCCCAAAAATGTATTCTTTGAAAAACATTTGCGAGAAAAGTTTACTCATTGGCTTTCTGAAATGCACAGCAAAATATCCAAAATTCTGGCAACTTTGGGTGCTACATGTAAAATAGCTGTAACATTCGGGTTTCTGCCCAGAATGACATCACAGTTTTGCTCATGAATATGTTAACGCCACTAGCATAAAATGCCACCAACATACCCTTTAAATTGGCAAAACGAAATTTGAAAATAAGGTTAAAACAGGACACAAAGGTGCAGCTTGAAGGATTGCATTTATAAATTTACATTGCATGATCCCTTTAAATTTAAATAAAGTTTGCTTTTATTTTTAGTTTCGGCCTAAGCTTTATTTTGTCCTTATATTTAATGTTATAATAACTATTTGAGTGCTTCATATAACATTTGGGCCATTCTGAAAAAAATAAGAATAATATTTAGAATAAAAGAATATTTGAATAATGTTGCCCTGTATAAATATTTGTTTAAAAAATGAAAGAAAGAAAAGAAAACACTTCCAGCAAGATGTCATGTATGAATATTAAATACGACGTGTATCACTACTGCTTTACCTTAAAATATGGCAGTCTCGCTAATTTAGAAACGTACATAAATTATTTTAATAAAGACTTCCTTAAAACCATACCCGATAATTTAAGTAAGTTTTCTCGAAGAATTTTCTGGGCAGATCCATAATGGTTCAAGGGGGGGGGGGGGTGTCAGGTGGTGTAACAACAGTCCCCTGTTGTTTTCCTGTTCTTTTTCTTTGGCCCAAGAGGAGGAGGGGGTTCAAACCCGCAGATCAACCACTGTCTGGGGGAAAAGGCCCCCTCCCCCCCCCCCCCCCCCCCAATTTCCAGGGTCCCTTTAGGTTCCCCCAAATTCGCTGTTTACCCAAGGAAGTGTCGATGAATTGTTATCAGATGTGATTTTTTTTTCATTGCGGACCATGTGGACAAATTGTGTGCGTCGCACGATGCTAAACGGAGCATGAGCATGTGACGCAACCACAAATTTACAACACAGCTAAGTTTCACAGATTATCCTACATTACAACGCTTTTCAACGAAAACAAAAGCATTGAAATGCAGTAAGACTTACGAATCAGTCTTAAACGGCCGTTTGATATGACACTGCGTATTTCGAAGTACAGAGTTGCAAGTCGGGCCAGGTTCTGGGACTTTATTTTCCCTTGAAAAAAAATATCCTCCAACCACAAGAGCATCCAACGGGAATCGAACTCGCGATAACATCGGATTTGTAATCCGATGTTGTATCCATGACACTGCAGAAGTGACTCGATCGATGTGGTAGTTTTAAATATCGTACTATTGCATAATAGGGCCCCATAACAGCGTATGGGAAAATATAGCGCTCCCCGCCCACTCTACCCCTCCCTTTTGCTGCACGGTGGAGACTCTGGAGTGAAAAAGAATTTGTTTTGGTCAGGATAACTAGCGCCCTCATTAGTCCACAGGCAATCATGCGTGACAGACGACGGAGTGGAGACTCCTTTCTTTGTTCATGGTGGACGAATCTGTGGTAAATTTCACTTGTTTGTTTGACATTTCAGATATTTGAACCCACCCTTGTGCCTGTTCACGGCAAGATAATACTTGTGAAATGCTGGGGCGGAACATTTTAAGACAGGACAGTTTGGAGGTCGGAAAAAATGTACCATTTTCTGCCACATCGTCAGGATGTCAATTGTCATGATGATGATTTTATATATGGAGCTATCCTTTAGCTCCATGATTTAACGTAGCGTTGCCTTGCATGCCTGTTCTAGTCGTACTCGTACTGTCGGGGGTCAGACAACTGGACCGTTAAGCCTAAAGCCAACTCGACTTGGGACAGCTCAACCGTTAAGACAACTCGACCGTTGAGAGTGAGACAACTCGACCTATGTTCCTGAAATGGAAAGTAAGTCACCCGTTGAGACAAGTGGACTCGCAATCTTTTCAGGGGATAGTAAGTATACATTCTTCATAGGCAGAACCTATACTGAATATAGCACCACGTAATTGCTGCGTTATACCTCTGGCCACACGCCAGGTTCCCCAAACTACTGAGGAGTTTGTCCGGAAAAAAGTTGTTTTACATACAGTTGTATTAGTATGATATGAATGTCTCAGCTTCTTTCCTCTGGGTTGTTTAGTTGTCCTAATATCCGCAGGGGTGTGAAATCTCAGCTTTATAGCTGATTTCAGCTTTTTTTGTTTTGGATTTCAGCTATTTTCCCTCCCTTGCTGTGTACAAAAGTATAGGAGATTTCCAAAGTTCAGCTTTTTTTACACCTTTTTCAGCTGTTTTCAGCTATTTTGAGCTATTTTTGTCAGAGGTCACTCACACCCCTGTATCCGGAAAGATTCCCATATCTGGCCATCACTAATTTTCGCCGTCAGTTGCCTATCACTATCAGTATCAGCCATCAGAAAGTGATAATTAATATGTCCTGAAAAGTAAAATTTAGCAGGGAAAATATTGAAATATTTACTGAGAAAACACTAAGACATTTTTCAGACCAGTCTCATACGGTTTGTGCACAGGGTGACAAGTGATGGCCAGATATAGGAATCTTTCCCAATATCCAATTTTTAGAGAAATTTAGGCATCTTTCAGGAGCCCATATCATTTGCACCCGAAAATCGTCTGTTAATGGCAGCCATTTTGAACTCAGAAGCGATGACCCTAAAGCTGTGACAACATGTTTATGCAAATCAATCTTGACACTCGTACTGTATGGTTGGCGCTATAATCGGTTGAGATTGAAACTTGTAGTTAACTTGGTGTATTTATTTTGTGTTTTTAACACAGTCTCTAGATGACAACCCTGGCAGAGAACACCTGTCTGGAATCTGAAGATTAGGCATCACTGGATCAAGGAGAGACTCAAGGAGTGTTGTGTAACATCCAGCCCTCGTGAGGATGCTTTCGTAGTGTCCAGCATTCTGTAAAGACGGATGTTTGCAGGATATGATATCATATCTAATCAACATTCAAGATAGTACTTCAGCAAAATGAACACAAAGAGATCTGAGTTGATTCGTCGCACACAAGTAGGGGTGCACACACGTGAGAAACCATTCGTTTGTGCAACCTGTGGTAAAGCTTTGACTAGACAAAGAGATCTTCAACGACACAACAGGGTTCACACCAATGAGAAACCATTTGTTTGTAAAATCTGTGGCAAAGCCTTTACTTGGCAAAGTAATCTATGCACACATGAGAAGATACACACGGGTGAGAAGTCATTCGTTTGTGCAAACTGTGGTAAACCCTTTACCACAGAAGGTAGTCTCCAACGACATTATAGGATTCACACTGGTGAGAAACCATTTGTTTGTGAGACCTGTGGTAAAGCCTTTAATTCACAGGGTAATCTATGCCAACATAAAAGGTTGCACACTGGTGAGAAACCTTTCGTTTGTGCAACCTGTGGTAAAGCCTTTACTCAGCAAACATATCTATACAGACATGACAGAATTCACACGGGTGAGAAACCATTTGAATGTGCAACCTGCGGTCAAGCTTTTGCACGGCAAAGTGGTCTACTCAGACATGAGAGGATTCACACTGGTGTTAAACCATTCGTTTGTGTGACATGCAATAAAGCTTTTACTCGACAAACTGGTCTAAACAGACACTACAGGGTTCATAAGTACTGGCAGGAAACCAACCTTGTACATGGCTGACAGTAAACTATTGTTTGGGTAAAAATAGGGAAATGCTTAACTTTTTAAAATTATGTCAACTCAATTTTATGGTAAGAAATTTGTTTGCACATTGTTTGTTAACAAAACATTTTTTCTGGAATTTCAATATAAAAGAGATATTGTCTTTGTAATCATAGTCTTACATGTCTTTACTCTAGCTTCCTTTGACATTTTTCACCTAATGCTCCACTGTGCAGATACAGTGGTGTAACTAACTTATCAATTTTACAAAGGGGCTGTAAAGGCAAATGAAACCTGTCATTTCAATAGTGCTGTGAATTTCTTCCTTTTTTAAGATATCTTTATATTGTGCCCATCACTTGTACCCACAGTTCATCCCAACTTGCAAGGGGTAACAACTAACACGCCAAGTGCAAGTGCTACATGTAGAGGGCTGCTGTTCAACTGTAGCATGTTTGCAGTTTTCTTGTAAAATATTTGGCAACACTCCATCAGTGTGTTAATAGCATCTGAACATTCTCCTCACATCTCTTCACTTATACTTTTTCGTGACCAGTTTCTGTGGTCAAACATGAAAGGCATAAAGCTCGGCATTGATGCCCTTTGCGAATGATTTATTCTTTTTTTTAAGCATAAAAGGTAGGCAAACCTTAGACTTTCATGCTCGAATATAAAACAAATAAAGCAAAGGAGATGTGTATGAGTTACCACATAACACTGACCGGCGATATTTTTGCGCTTTACCAAAATTAGCAGAGTATAATTGTACACTCATGACTTGCCATTGTCGATGGGAATCTGTTTATTGCTGGCAAATCTGCAAGCTTAGTAGAAAAGTTGTCCTTACAGTTCTATGCTTGGTTTATGAAAAATGTAATCTTCTTAAAACCAATGTCATGCGCCATCGTTGTTTGCAACATGCTTAATTCTTCAAATAGAGAGCGCATATCTTATTGAGTATGTAGCAGCAAGCCCTCCTGTTTTGGTATAGATTGTCTCATTCCTGGTCAAACTGTGGAAAGTTAAATAGGAGGATTTTGTCGATTTAAATTTTAAAAATCTCGGTCGCTATCGGAGATGACCCCGCATGACCCACTTCTATGGCGTATGACAGTAGCATTATCACTTGCTCTCACCAAGTATGTACAGGGTGAGTCAAATTTAGCGGAACCCAACCCCCCCCCCCAAAAAAAAAAAAATTATATTTCACATTTAAAAATATATATAGCACCAAAAGTAATGACTGGGGAGCCAATTTCATAAGCTACTCTTAGATGAAAAATATTACTAAAGTTGCTCAATCCGTTATAAGAATATCACCCTTTAAACACAATTACCCTAAAACCTCTTTCGTCCAAAAATGCGATTTCAAAAATCGTGGTCACAATTGTCTTCAGACATCACCAGCGATAAAAGCTCGGTTAAAAAGTTTCAAATATTCAACAAAGTCCTTTTGAAGGCCCTTTTTAAAAAAAAAGGTGGATTACATAAGTTATATTGTTTGCCTATAAACAAGGGTTGTTGATAAAGTTGTGGACAGCTGTTGAAACAAGTTGTGTGTCAATCAAAACACACAATACATTGCTTTTTTTGGACAAGACAGCTTTTAGGGTCATTGCGTTTAAATGGTGATATTCTTTGAACGGATTGAACAATTTCAGTAATTTTTTTTCATCTAACGGTAGCTTATGAAATAGTCTTTCCAGTCATTATTATGGTTGGTTCTACCTATTTTTGTTTATTATGAAATATATATTTTTGGGGGTATGGGTTCGGTTTTTTTTACTCACCCCTGTGTATATTGCCCAATGCCTAGATTGGAACTAAAATTGTATTCATAAGTTTGTAGAATGGTAAGTGATCAGTGGTGGATAGCGGAGTTTTGTGTTCTTTTTATTGAAGCAATTAAAAGTTAATATTTGTAATTGATCCATTTTTAAAAATAAATTAAGTGTAGCGAGCCCAA